TGAACTGAATAATGATGGCAACAATGAATCATAGAATCACAGAATCATAGAATGCTTAATGTTGGAAGGGAACTCCAACCCGTCCAAGCGGGTTTTGAAGATCTCCAGAGAAGGAGACTCCACAACCTCACTGGGTAACTCAAAATGAGTTTCAAAGCGAGAGTTGCGTTTTGAAATTATTGCACATCCAAGCTGACTTTTGTATACCTAAACCATTTACTTTTATCAAGACATCAAGTCCAAAAGTTTTTAATACAGTAAAGAACAGAAAACCTTGATGAGTTAGAATTGAGTGCCACCAACAAGGAACAAGTCAGTTTCCTGTACCAGAGATTATCCTAATGCCAGCATATTTGCTTAACAGAACAGAGGACATGAGCTAGAATATATATATATATATGTTATTCAGGAGAAGCCTGGATTTTCCAAACATCTGTTTGTTAAACAGATGGTCTCACTGTGAGAATCATTTTGGTCCTTTGACCATATTCTAACCTAATTTTTTTTTCTAATATTGAAGTATCCCTTTAGAGTTGTTCTTCTGCCAGCTACCTAAGCCATTTTCCATTGCCTGAGACTATTTTTGTTGTTTGGAGTGTTTTGTTTGTTTGTTTTGTTTTGTTCACACTATCAATTTAGACTTTTCAACTCCTGAGAGTCTACTGTGATATTCTGATTAGTTGAGAAGATAAAAATGGCTCTAAATATGAATTAAAAAGAAAAAAAAGGCAGTTAACTGTTGAAATTATTACTTTTTTTTACTTAATAACAGTCATTTCTCATTGTCACTCTTGATACACACCACACAAAGCTAGTCTGCATTTCAATATTCTTCCTGTCTGCCCTGTCTACTATACATTTTTTTTTTTCTACTGGCCTAGTACAAAAGCTAACAGGGATTTTGCAAAACCTGTGCACTTTCATTCATAGGTTATTTGCTGCATGTTAATAACTGCTGGTGCCTGATAACATTTACACAATGGCTTTTAAAAGATGACCATAGAGCAGAGAGTTTGGATTAAAGCATTGTCTGGAAAAAGACTGGAAAAAACCATTGTCTGAGTAGCTAGTTGAGTGAGTTTCTGACTCTTTGAAAGGAACTTTTTCCAAACTGAGGATTTTTTTTCTTCCATCTCTTTTTAACCTCATCTGACTTTGTTTTTTAAGAAAGTAAACCAAATTTCAAATTTCAAATTTCAAATTTCAAATAATAATAATAATAATAATAATAATAATAATAATAATAATCTGTGATTTTTCAGACCGACGGTTAGTCAGTTAAACTCAATATTGGAACTATCTGAATTCTTTAATGAAACTATCCACTCTAGATGGAAAATAGAGTTTCCATACATTTCTAAAGTGATTTACAGAATACAGCAAGCAATAACAGAATTTTTATGTTCTCAGAGGTATGACTATTTCCCTAACAAAAAAAAAAAAAAAAAGGAAAAAAAAAGAGAAAGTACACATTAGGACAAAGTGTGATTTCTGGCATTTAAAAGGATTAATAACGGAAGACATCAAGCTGTTTCTTCTTCAGTGCTTCTGATATCAATTAAATGGCTCTTTGCCATTTCTGCCTCAGAAACGTTCAGAAAACATTCTACTGCTTTGAAAGATCTGTGATTTCAAGAGACAATCACACAAAAGGGGATTTCTTTCTGATATTTGAAATAGCAGCTGCTAGAAAAATACAGAATCTTTTTCTAGTTCACTCAACTCAATTTCTAAGAAAACCATAAAGTATAACATTATTATCTTCTGTTCCATTTTAAAAGTATGGAGTTAGAAAAGGAGTTGAAACGCATCAGTCTTATTCGAAATGGCCAGGCTATAGCAGTGCAGACAACTCACTCTGTCACTTATAGAGGTTCTATCCCAGAGGGTTTTTCTGGAAAGAAATTGTTAAAGGTCTGCAATGATATATTTTGCCTTTCAATGTTAACTTTGCCTTTTTTGATAGTTGTCTTCTAATAAGAAAGATATCACAGATATTTGCCATCAAGCTTTCAGTGTGTTTTATAAAATTGTAATTATAGGATGTCTTCTCAGCCTTTGTTCTGGTCATTAATTTCTCTCATAAATTTCTCTCCTTTGGACTCAGAGCAACACAGTTTATAGAAATGTTGGGTGTAAGTCAAATGCTGCCTATCCACAGTTGTTTGTTTATACAGAGAATAAAAAACATCTGGAAAACTCTTCAGAAAGAAGGGTGAAATTTATGTTACAGTATCATCCAGTTATCTAGGTATCATATAACATAAAAATATGTTGCAAATGCTCAAAAAGAATGCCATTTGCATTTCAGAAACTTTTAATAGTTTTTTTTTTAAAGTTACTCCTGTCCAGAAGTAAACACTTAGCATCAAAATGCATAATACAACCTAAGTACAAGGGGAGAATATATTTCTTATTTGGTATATTTATTGATTCTGATATATGAACTCATCCATAGGCATAGTAGTTTTGTCTCATTCATCCTCACATATTCAGTTTTATTCTTACAAGGTTGGAGAACATCAGCCTGATGTGCCAAGGGAACTTCTAAATATGCATTATCTTTAGGAAAACAAAAATAACTCCATGATGAAATTAATTCCTAAAAACATTTCTTACAAGGAAATTGCTCACTTTTTTTTCTTCATTTATTTTATTGTTCTCTTAGTGGAGTAAGAGGGAGCTGTAAAAGACATGACCTTCCTTTAGGGGACTAGAGGGGAGGTGTGGACACCCACATTGGTATTTCTCTTTAACCATCTTGAAATTGCTTCTTCTACTTGTGTGTGAAAAATATGAGCATTATTTAAAAGATTCTGTCTAACAACTTAGTGAGAATATTTCAAGGGACAATGAGCGATCTAAGGAGAAAACAAAATGTCTTTAAAAAAGTCAGATGGTAAAAATATGCTATGTTCACTACAATGTTATTACTTTCTTTCTTCCTCACCCTCGATTTCTTCTTGGGCCAGTCTTCACCACTCCAGTTTCATTGTGTCTTTGTAATGTCATAATAAAACCTTTGTATCATAAAATATTTATGAGTTCAAGCACTGCAAAGCCATAAATCCCCAAATGTTTCAATAAAGAAGATAAAATAGTTTCACTGCAACATGCATTAGGTGCCAAGCAGAATGAAAGAAATCATTTCTTTTATAGTATTACTCTAAACATAGCTGTTTGATTTTTTTGCTTTGAAAATTTCTTCCTTCTGAGAAGAATTAATTAAGAAGTATTTCTTAGATACCTGGAGCTCTGATGTTTTGCGATAAAAATCTCTCTAAAATCGTAAGTATTCTTCTGTTCATGGATCCCTCAAATATTAGCATGAGCTCTAAATCCATCCATTTGCAGACCTTGGGTCACTTACTCAGTCACTGGTCAAACACCAAACCTGGTTGTTTGCAGGTGTGCAAATAACTCATTAGCTAGTTATCAGCTCCTACTCATCAGCTCCCTGCTACTCATCAGCTAGTCAACCCTGACATTACACATACAGTATTTAAATGTCCTTGGGAAACACACAGGCACACATATCACTCAGCACCTCCCACTCCCAGCACCAATACTTAGCCTCTGCTGTGAATACAGATCCTTTGCTGGTTGCTGGAACTTAGCCTTTTCAGGACATACAGAAGAGAGAGTAATATCTCGTGAAAACAGCTAGAATTAATAAGAGGATAGGATACAATACAACAATCAGGCTCAGGCCACAGACAGGTACCTTGACTGGTAGCCCTTACACCATCTGTGGGATGACTTATCTCCCTTTTCCGCTATGTGTACTCCTCCAACCATCTTCACCTCTCTTTCTCCCGCTTTGTTTCTTTGCAAATGAACTATAGGTACCCCATTGCTTTTTACCTATAGATTCGAATTTTGCCAAATCCATACTCAAGTTTGATAAATCTGATACTGTTAACTACTCATCTCAGTGTTATATGATGCTATTAATGTGATCACTAATGACCTGTAAAAAATACTGTCTTTCACTCATCTCCTTCCGAGGTAATTGTGAAATCCAGCCATCCTTCATAACACTATTTGTAATTTTTGTTAGCTTCTCACTTTTATTTCTATTAAGTTCAGCAATTGCTGTGTCACAGTAATTTTTCATGGTCTTTTCAGTTAAGCAAACCTCAAGCCAGGGCCTAGTTACCTGCCTGCAGAGCTCATGGAAAATGCAGCATATTGTCATTCAAGCATGCATAAGACTCCACTTTTTCTTTAAAAAAAAAAAAAAAAAAAAAGACTAATTCTTTGCTTTGCCTCAAACAAAGTGTCTTAGTCTTTCTTTCTCCTCCTCACTAAAACAGGAATATTTAAATTCACCTGCTGTTCAGCTACTGAGATAGCTCCTGGCATATATCTATACCTTGTTATTCTGCTGCTATTAACCATATCTTCACCATTAAGGGGTACAAGAATGATATGTAAAAAAAAATGCATAATTTATTAGGCTAATATGCTTCAATATGTATATACACACAGATATATAGATATCTACAGAGAGAATATATGTGGTGCAATTGATAGCAAATACAGCAAAGGAAACTCATCTGAAAACAACCTTTAAAGGGAAAAGAAAGTATAAGACTAGTTTTGAGGCACTTCTTAACACAAACATTAAGGATTTAAACTGAAGTTTGAATGCAAGGAGTCAGTTCTTTCTCCATGATTCTAAAGAAGTTAAGACCTATTCCAACAGTTTAGGTCATGACTTTGCACTATACTCCCATTTTGGGTCAAGAAATCCACTTATACCTATACTCCCAGCAGTAAGAGGTTTTGGATGTTTCCTACTGAAGAAGATCTGGAAGAAGAATGATCTATTCTAATGTTAAAGAAAATAAAAGCAATAGTGATTGAGTAGTTTGGTTTATATGCAAATTTATTTTAAAAAGAATACTTTTCTTCCAATTCAGTGTAAGCAATACCAAAGCAATACAAAACAAACCCGATCCCCATTCAAGTCAACAATGTCAGCAGTGTAGTAAGGCCTATGAGAAGACAGTCGAGTCAAGAATTCGGAAGTCTTGGAAAGGCTGATGCTTCATGAGGATGCCATTGCTGAAACCAGCCAACAATTCCAAAACACCTAGCACAATACAGCACCAAAACAAACAGAGCATAACAAAATGCATTTGGTCTTCCAGCTTCCTTAGACAGCCCTCCTGAAAGAGATGTTCCAGATGACATTTGTCATCCCTGCAATGAGAATATTTCTCCTTACAACAGTTTTCAGGAGTGCATGCTTTCTCAGTTGGAAGATGCCAAGAAACAGTTGATGGTGATAGCCAGTCTGTGTACTTTTGGACTCCACAACACTGTAGCTTCCTCTGGATTTTATCCACAGCCCTACTGCCAGGATTCTCAAAATACGGTCCACTGTAGTGAGAGAAGAGGTGCCCCATAGTGCTTTTCAGCTCAGAAGACATCCTAGTAGAGTAGATCTTTGCCAGAAGAGCTGAAGACGTTTCTAGACAGAGAAGTAACAGCAGCAAGTACATGAGGACACCTTGTCGATAGCGGGAGTTCTTCACAGAAATAGAAATAGCTAAAATGCCAGTGGGTAGCAGGACAAATGCAGCTACAATAGCCAGCCAGCCTGGAAGAGGCAAAAAAGAATCCTGAAGAAAACATCTGTAGTTCTTGTACATCAGGATCACAAAGACTCCACTAAAGGCTAGGGCTGCAGCAGCCCCCCAAAAAAGAAGACCAAGAAACAGCAACATAGTTCTTGCAAAGGACCTGAGCCAGGAATCTTCAGAGCGTTTGAGAGAAGCCACAACTGCTCTAACAGTCTTCATTCTGCTTACCCTTTGAAAAGGGAGGCTCACTACCACTTTTTAAAAAGCCTCCAGCTACTTTGCAGGTGTAGCAGATAACACCTCCACCCAAAACCAGTGAGCTGATAAGATCTCTCAGCATAAATAAATAGGATCTGTAAGGACTATTTGTTTCTCATCTTTGCAATTGCTTGTTCTGGAAAAAAAAAGGGGGGGGGGTTAGTGGAGGGCTTGCTGAGTTATTTATTTTGCTGCCAATTCATTTCAAATGTTAAAAGGCTAAGCACAGCTAGAAAAATACTATGCCCCTTACTCTGCTTAAATTTATATAATAAAGCTAAACAGAAAGAAATACTTAAACCAGCAGTGAGTAGCATAGGTCTGGACTACTTAGATTATCCAAGTGGTAGAGATAATCCAACTATAAATCCTATGGCAGCAAGATGGCAAAAAATGTACAGATCAGTGAGACTTAGGAAGGAATAGTTAAAGCACAGCTGTTCAATCAAGGAGTTTCATAGGTAACATCTATTAAAATTCTTTATTGTTCCCCCGTATGTTTACCAATCATTAGATTTTTTTATGAGGGTTATGTTTATAATACTTCTCCCTTTTTTTTTTTTTTTTTTTTTTTTTTTTTACTTTGCTACAGAGCAAGTAGATTTTCCATGTAGAAATCCATAGTTACTCAAGACACCTGGGTGATCGGGATCTCCTCCATTTGCACTGCCAGTGATTTGACCAAGAGCTATAGCGAAGGAATACAAATAGTAATGACCATATTAACTCTCTTTTGTTGGTGGTGTTATTAATATTCATAGATTTTTTCACACACTAAATGGCTTAAGAATATTTGCAAAGGGAATCAACATTACTCATCAACAGACTGAAGAAAAAGACATTTCCCAAATATGTGACACAGAAAAGCCAATTAAGATAGCAAACACTGTGAAGCTTGCTGCAAATGCCAGGAATTTGAATTCCAGGTCTGGAATTGTCTGGGATTTTAAACAGGACTAATTCTATAGGCAGATCTTTATAAAGATGAAAAAGAGTAACAACTCTAATTTTTAAAAATGTGAGTACTTGAAAACTCTTCTAAAATTGAGGCAGGTGTTCAGGTACCTGAATTATTGAAAAGTCTTATAAAAGCTGATGAACACATAACTATTACGCATTTGGTAAGATCCAAGTACATTTGTCATATGCATACACAGTTGTAGGACTGATTCCCTTTAAAATATGTTTCTATGTGCTATGGGTTGCATTAAGAAGAGCATCTCCAGCAGGTTGAGGGAGGTGATCCTGCCCCTCTACTCAGCCCTGGTGAGGCCGCATCTGGAATATTGTGTCCTGTTCTGGGCCCCACAGTACAAGAGGGATGTGGAGCTGCTGAGTCCAGCACAGGGCTACAAGGATGATCAGGGGCCTGGAACATCTGCCCTATGAGGAGAGACTGAGGGAGCGGGGCCTGTTCAGCCTGAAGAAGAGAAGGCTGAGAGGGGATCTGATCAGTGTCTATAAGTACCTCAAGGGAGGCAGTGAGGAGGATGGTGCTGGCCTCTTTTCAGTGGTCGTGGCCACGGGCAGAACTAGAGGTAATGGCAGCAAACTGAAACATCAAAAGTTCCACACGAACTTAAGGAAAAATTTATTGACAGTGAGGGTGACAGAGCACTGGAACAGGCTGCCCAGAGAGGCTGTGGAGTCTCCTTCTCTGGAGATCTTCCAAACCCGCTTGGATGCAGTCCTGTGCCACGTGCTCTAGGTGACCCTGCGTGTGCAGGGGAGTTGGACTAGACGACCTCTAGAGGTCCCTTCCAATCTTAAGCTTTCTATGATTCTATGATTTCATTAAAGCTAAGTATTTTGGAATGAGATACATGGCTTATATTTTCAGTCTGGCTATTAACAATAATTAACATATAATGACTGACTTGTTAAATCTTCTTTCAAAGATGTTCTAGGATGTGTGTTTTTCTGTAATTCTCTGAAATCTTCATCCACCCTCATTCCTTTTCAGCTCCCTGCTTTCCCTCACCATTAAATGGTGGTGGTTCCAGTGCCATTCACATAATCTCTTGCATGCCATTTTGTTTAATTGCTGTGATCTGCATCTGAGAGTGGAAGAAGAAAGGAATGGAAAGGATTTCCCCTCATAGCTGCATACACAGACAGCTTCATGAATTTAATGGTTCCACAGTGAAGGAGGATTAAAAATTTTAAAAAAAGTTAAACATATGAAAAAATATTATGAGGAGTAATGGTAGGCTTGTGTTTTCAGTTTGCAAGTCTTGTGAAAAAAATACACAGACCTGCCTCTTACACCTTCTGCCTTCCCTCATGCTTAAAAAACTTAATGAAATATTTAAGTCACTTTTTTTTTTTAGTTTATTGTGCAATCTTTGAAATACATCAGATACTGTTCACTTAGCCCTGTATGAAGATCTATATGGAGAAGAGTAGGGAGTTACCCACACACAGTGCTGACTTATCCTTCACAGGAATCAGAAAAAAAAAAAAAAAAAACATTAAAAATTAATTGAGAATCAATTTCCAAGAGCTCTCAGTTCCCAGAGCTACCTGGAGTTTCAAACATACATTGCATGATGTAACAAATTACCACAGTGAAGATGAATAGTGGCTGGGTTGTCCAAAAGGCGATAAGTAGAGAAAGCTTCCATTCACTTTTTTGCTGTTGTAAAAAATAAACATCTTTAACAGCCCTGTATTTGTGCTAAGTAATTTCAATTGCACGTTCAGCCAAAAGTTTGACAAAAGCAATGAGTGGAGGAACATATTGGTAGAGTAGAATAGAAATGTTTTTCTGTTTTCTTTACAATAAAACATGATAAATACTGTTCTTGATTTCTCTGAAGTTGTTTCTGCTTATAAACTGATAAATATTGAAATTCAAATGTGGGTGTAATAGGTGAAGCATCTGAGATAAACTACTTTCTGATATATTACTGAAAGTATAATCCTTCAAGTTAATAAAATGCCAAGTGTGTATTTATTTGCATTCGTTTTTCTAACAAGCTAACATTAATATTGAACTCACATTCTGAGTTCAAGAAATGTAAAGAGTTTTTTTTTCCATACAGGTCTCACCCCTGGCACCAGAGATCTGTTAAGTCACCATTGTGCTTTTGTAAGTGCAATCTAGGCAGATAATTTGACTCATTGTAAATGACACAAAGCGTCTTACAGATTGATCAGAGAGGACATTGAGCTCTTGCTGTGGTGGGCTGGTGAACTGATTGCTGTGGATTTGTGTGAGCAACAGGAGAACAAGAGACGACCAAGAGGAAATTTACACTAGTTCAGGGCACAGTTAGACAAACCCTTGTAAACATAATAAAAACTTCATAAAAAATAAGATCTCAAGGCAGACCTTAGCTATACATTATCACTGTAACAGGAAATAGCCCTAAACTGCCCTAAGACAGATGGCATTGCCCATGCAGAGATGAAGTTATTGTACCCAGACCTTGTTGGTCCATTTCACATTTCTGTATACATTCTAGAAAGTTAAAGTGACTTTGAGCAGGCTGGGATTGGGGTTTAGAACAGGATTTAAATTTCTTGTTACGCTAAATCATATCAGTTTCTAAAGCATTGTAATTTATATTAAGTAAGGTTGATCTGCTCTGATTCCAGCTTTCCAATGGTGAGAAGGCAGAAAGTAAATAGGAAACTAAGCAGTTTTCATGTCAACCTCAGCCCAGTTCAGTCTTAATATAAAATATCCACTTCTACTCCCCACCACTTCTCTTCCATCTGGCAGCTGTAAACTAGCGTGCAACTGGATCAGAAAAAAATACCAGAAGATTTGTCAGCATATTTATCAGCATATTTATCAACAGATACAAAAAGGAAAAAAAACAGTTAGGAGATTTATTAGAAGTGTTGGCAGACCAGAAAATATCTATTAAATTGTTATAATTGCTATCATTTTTTCTTTTACTCACCCTGACTTCTGACCTTAGCAGTATATGCTTTTGGAACAGAACAGATTCTTTGCATTATTTATTACTATTTTCCAGTTTACACAGATAACCTGGGCTGGGCATAAAAGTGCAACGAATAAATCACAATATTCAAAACTAAAAGATTTGAATCAAACCATCTGACTTATTGACAGATATTTGACATGTCTCATGAGGAGACTTGTAACAGGAGGACTTGCTAACTGAAGAAGGCAGTTTTTATAAAACTAGGAAGGTCCAAGTAATTCTATTCTCTCTGGGAATAAAAACTTATGAGACATGCCAAGATTAGACAACTTGTCTTATGAGACAGAATTATTACAAGACGATCCTGACAACCCCAATGTGAAAGACTGAACAAATCTGATTGAGCCCTGATTCTACCGTTTCTACCACACACAAGTAGTTGCCTTAGCAACCAGGATCAGATGATGATGTGTTGCATGAGACTAATATATTTCTTGAAAGGTTCTACGTGAGCAAAGGAGATAGGATTGTGACCTGCTATTCATTCAGGAAATGTAGAAAATGTACTCTTCTAGTAGAAAAAGTAGTGGTTTACCATTGTGCAGTGTTTCAGCTAAAGCCAGTCAGATTTTACCCCTCCCTCTAATTTCCTGATCAAAGCTGGGCTTTTTTGAATTGAAAAACATTATCAAATGCTTTTAGAAGTTTTGTTTAATTTTGCTTTTACTATTGCAGATTTCCACTGGTATTGAAAATATTTAGAATCAAATGTCAAAGAAAAGGGTATTTTTTCTTCTTTCCCTTTTTGTAATGAATACATAGCAAAACTAAAACCTTTCCCTTTCACTTTCTGCTTTCCCCTTTCCCCTCTCCCTCTCCTTCTCCCTCTCTTTTCCCTTTCTTCTTTCTCTTCCCTTTCCAGTACCCTTCATGTTTCTTTTCCCTATCCCCTTAGCCTTCTATTTCCTTCTTAATTATATAAGTATTTAATTTTATAACATTTTTGGAACTGTGATGCATAATGCCTATCAAAAGAGATTATTAAAAAATACAATAATCAAAATT